CTGAAATTAGGCGTATGTGAAAATAAATAAATAATAAATACAACGAACCATATGTGTATATCTCACTTTTGCCTGAATTTGATGAACTGTATATTAAACCAGGCAGGAAAGATAGCAACTGTTGTGAATGGCCACAGCCTTCTTTATCTCTTTAAATTTCGCGACCCGCTACCAACCCGCAGTTCTTTACTGAGCTGATATTCAAGGAACTTACGAGACAAAACCTTTTCTCGCCTTAAGGAGATTTGTTCCACGAACATCACAGAGAGCAACAGAGATCAAGGACATCCATCGTTTGTGTTTTGATTGTATGCTAGAACTTAATAGTATTCTGTGAAACTATCCTTTATTAAGTGGTTCGACTGAGAGGCGAGGAAAGATTTCTGCTTCGGAAAAAAGATGATGATTTGCAGTTTTCCATTATATTGTAGTATTAGTGGGATGCAGTTCTAGTGGCTTCTTTACCGCTGTTTATCCGACGCAAACTAAGTCTGGCTCGTACTCATAGGCACCAACGGTAACCAAAACAACATGCCACATATGAGACCCTTGCTGAGAAGAGAGGACTTTCGTGTGACAAATTGCTACCTGATAGGAATAGAGCGTGTACTGCAAACAATGCGAGCAAGCGATCCCAACTGCAAGTTCGAGTGGGTAGTCATTGTACAGGTTATTCTGTAATTGAGACTCATTTCCATCAATCGATTGAAACGCGGTTGTGCTGAAAGCTTCAGAACTAGTTAAGTAAATTCAAAAAGAACGTTATCAGGTTCGTGGCCAGGGAGTGTGGCAACCCAGATACGCTCGAATCATTTGAACTAGGAAATAACAATTAGGCTTTGTGTCAGCCTTAATTTTACTACCAATGATAAGAATAACGGATAGATAGATGCTCACTGATAGACAGGGACTGGTTGTACCATGGCCAGTCATTGAAGACTGGCACCATTTTTGAAACAATCTTTCGAACACACACACATCACGATCTGGGTGGTGGCGTTTTCACTTCGGCTGATATGTCAGATTTGGCGCCACCGTCTGGCATGTGGTGCATCATTTTCGCTTTTGTGTTTACGTGCTTCGGACGTCTGAAACACACACATACGGACCAAGTGGAACAGTGCGACCGCCGATGATCATCTCAATTAACACGAAGACCACGAAGCTGCGTGAAAATCACGTGGTTTCCAGAGCCACACCAACCGTCTTATTCGTTCTAGGCTAATCAGTAATGATATTTACTGTGGGCTTCCGATTGGGTGTCTCAACCATAGTCACGTGGAACAAATTAGTTTTGTGCAAACAGGTGCACTAAAATGATAATACAAATATCTAATTGTAGTAGTTCTAGATAGACGAGAATATCGGTTTTCCAAATGGGTGTCGTAAACAGAAGCGCTCTGGCATCTGCCCAATATTCTTCCCAGTTAAGTTGGACAAGAATGGTCTATTTTCACTTTGACACTTCTTGCCAATTTTTTCTTCTACTCTTACATCTTACATCCAAACGGGTAGCCAAAATATTGCAATCGAAACCGCCACACGAAAGCACACGTTTAATGATTATTTTGTAAACCGAATTTGATTTGTGATTTCTGCAAAAAGAAAACGGGGAAAAGTTGTAACAAATTGAGTAGAAACAGTATGGGTTTCCAATGAAACAAAGATAACGGTGGGATGGACATCGAACGTAATCTCATTCACAGGTAGGTGCGTTCCCGTAATATTTTTCGTTGTTGATTTTTTTTCACTCTCCTTTTGTAACACCATTGAGCTTGAAAAGCGATCAAAGACGCAATCAACATTCAAGGATCCGAATGATCGAAGTTCTCTTCAAGTGGATTTGAACAACCTGGTTCAATGGGCGGATACCTGGGCTCTTCCAGTCAACACAGAAAAGTGTGCTCACCTGTGCTTGGGGTGTGCTGACTCAGAAGTAGTCTACAACTTCCAGAGAACCATACTGCGCAGAACATCGTGCGAACGAGACCTGGGTGTTATGGTTACGTCATCACTAAAGACCAGAGAAAACACCGATCGGGTCTGCGCTAGCGCATGGAGCATTCTGGGGCCTATTCGGCGGTCTTTCAGCCAGCTCAAGATGGACGCTTTCAGGCTGCTGTACGCTTCCCATGTCAGACCAAGACTTGAGAATGGTGGTGCGGCGATATACCCCTGCACGGCCGGTGAACTGGATAAGTTAGAGCGTGTACAACGTGCTGCCACTAGACTCGTTGTTGGAGATCTCATCTGCCTGAGATAGATCCTGAGAGGTGATATGGGCCCGGAGCTGCAACAGTACTTCCTTTTACGGACAGAGCACCGCACGCGGGGGCACTCTCTCACATTGCAGAAACTTCAGTCAGTTGGTCTTACGTTAGTCTACCGACTCTCGCGTAGGTCAACAACACTCGGGAATTCCCTTCCAGCAATTGTGGTGGAAGAGAAGACAAACGCTGCTTTCAAACGGCGTCTGGATGAGCATCTGAAGGGGGCTATGGAGGAACGAACACTTGTGATCGGACCTTCGACCCAGTGGTGATGGGGCTTACACGGGCACCCTGTCCTCTGCCCTCAATCCTGAAGACTGAAACTCTGTTACATAGCGCATCCTCGTAAACAGAAATATTAGTAAAAATTCCCATTACAGTAGAGCAAATGTGCCTATGAATTTGCCGCTCATTGCCTGTCACATGAATGCTTGAGGGGATATGCTTGATCAAGGAGCGGATGAACAGAAGTGGTATTAAACAGATTTTTTATTGAACGCATTTGTGTGTGATGTACAGCAGACGGGTTAAACCCGCATAATCACCAAGACCTGCTGTTCATTGATGAAAACCGGCAACCTTAGTCCAGGGACTTTAAATGGCGAACCTCATAAGGCTCAGTTAGGTTAGGCGTGGTATTGCACTAGAAGCCAGCGAAGCTGCCTACCAACCAGGTTGGGTGGCGAGGCTCGAACTGGTGAAAACGACTAAACCACTGTACCATCGCAACCTCAATAAGCTGAGGAAAAGCTGAGTGATCTGGAGTGCGCTAACAACATCGTCTGTCTATTTAAATCAATGTAGGATGTGCGAAGCATAACTGACATACTGATTATTTCAGGATATGCTGGTACCTTCATGGAATTTATTGATACTGCGAGAATAAATGCAAAGTAATCCTGTTTCGAAACTCGGAGATGAGGAATACGGTACAGGTGTTTGGCTCTCTACCTAGGGAGCAGTATTATTAATGCTGATAGCCCGGTGAAGGCCTAACCGCGCGCATGTTTGAGACTGGAGTGGGGAACGCTGGACTGAGACCCAACCGGTCAACAAGACGTTTGATACGAGTGGAAGGATCGCATGTACTGGGCCGCTATGCGGTGAGTTTTGTTTGCTTAACCGAAGATGGATCCTGATGTGGAAGAAGTCCTAGTGCAGGCCTTTAATCATCGACGTCAACATGGTTTGGCGCAAGTGGGATGGAGCTAGCGGACTAGTGACAATCATATGAGCCACAGGGTATTTCGTAATTATTTGGTAGAAAGTTTGTTATCAAACTGAATTCAGATTGTTAGGCTTGACCGGATGGTTCATTTATTGCCCCTACTTAGAGCTTTATTCGCAGTTTTTGCTTCAGAATGGAGTAGATTACCGTGGATGTGAGTTATTACATTACCGGGAGATCAGGTATGGAGGCTGCGCTTGAAGGCTGAGGTCCAAAAGAGTCTCCAAGTGGCTAGATGGACCCGCATTGAAGGGGACATGGCAGCGAAACGACAATGTTGGCGTTTTCTGTTATTTATTATGAAGTCACAATGCTTGAAAGAGTGTGTATGCACAGGTAAACTGTATTTTTTTCACTACACAAGTGTGACAATGGCGCTGGTACCACTCGTTTAACTTTTCTTGACTATACAAAAACTTTTGGTTCTCTCGACCAAAGTTTGCTTATTGATCGTCTTTCTGAGTGTGGTCTAACTCCTGAAGTCTTCAATATACTAATCAACTACTTCTCCCGTATGACTCCGTTTACTTCACTTGATGCTGTACAATCTTCTATTAACATTGAGGTCGGTGTTTTTCAGGGTGCCCTTGTGTCCCCTTTCTTGTTTTCCATGTATATACAAAATTTGCCCATCCCCACCAACTTTATTGCTTGTAAGTATGCTGATGATATTGTGATTGGTTGCCCAGCCCCTATTTCAGACAGTTTTCGACCTCTCCAGGACAGCCTTAATGAACTTCACGATTGGTCTGTGACCCGATCCCTTAAACTTAACGTCAGCAAGTGCATCGAAGTTCTGTTTAGTCTTAAGACCGGTCCCGTTATTTTTCATTGATTGATAATCTCCCTAATCTTAGAGTAAACAATCAAAGCATTCCCAAATCTGCATCTGTTAAATACCTTGGTATCACCCTTACCCATAACCTGTCCTAGTCTGCTCATGTCATCAACGTTTTCACTAAAGTTCGAAAACTGTCCTTGTATGCTTACAGGCTCAGGAAACTGGCCGTACCGCATAATCTTATTATTAAATTTGTGATTGCCTGCATTCTTCCACACTGGCTATACTGCTCCCCGATTTTTATCCCCGGACTGAAAGAAAAAGACTTCTCTTTATTTTCAACATCCCTTAAACTTTTGTCCCGTTACAGGAGAGTTGATAAAACTGTCTTAGTTGAGTTCTTTATTTCCAAGCATCTTGACGCTTGTGACACATTCATTGACAGGATAACGCATGATTAAGGGCACTGTCTGCACCAAGATATCGCCAAAGCCCTGTCAATTCCCCGGACATGCTACAAATATCAACTCCTTCCTGTGCGGACTTCCACATACCGAAACAGTGTAATTCCTTACTTAGCTCGTTTACTAGTAAATCGTCAGCATATCCTCACCCACCTCAGGGAATAACTCGCCCTAATTTTGTTCTCTCATTTAGTTAAGTGCAGAATTTCTCCTACTGTATTTTTTTGTTTACAATCATTTTACCTATCCACTGTAAAACTCGTAAACTGCTGAAAAATCACCTTTTGGGTGCATAAAGCTTTTCTTGACTTTACTTTACTTTACTTGAACAGCAGAGGGGGCAAACCCCACAGTTATNGGCAACCCTCGGGACTTGGAATGGCGAACCACATAAGGCCGCGATAGGTCAGGTGTGGTATTGAACCGGACGACAGCAGACCTGCTTACCATCAAAGTCGGGTGGTGATGGCGGGGCTCGAACCTCGGACCATAGGGTCCAAAGCACACCGGTGACAGCGACCAAACCAATGCACCACCAGTACTGTATGCTTCATGTGTCGAACATAGTAGTTCAGTTTTTTCCCCTTACTCAAAACAGGCTACCATTTCATCCATCTTGCACGCTAGTAATCAATAGGTATAAATAGTGGGTATTGCACCGAACAGCGAATTTCGGTGTGAGAATGCTTACAATAACAGGGTTTCCAGAGCGAATCACAATATGTGAAACAGCGCCAACGATGAGGGGTCAAAGATTAAAACAAGCATCACATCAAAACAGCACGAGATATATTGCTGGCATTAACAACTATCGCTGAAGGATGGCATAACAATTCAGGCCTACTGTGGGAATGAAGGCGATTCCATGATAACGAAGGATACAAAAATTGGTATGGAAAAGATGACAGTCACTGCTCGCACAGGTTGGGATTTGTGAAAT